CCCACAACCCCCAACCCCCCCCCCAAACCCACAACAACCCCCCCAAAACCCACAACAACCCCCCAAAACCCACAGCAACCCCCCGACACTCCCTGGAATTTCTGTGTTCTCTGAACCCGCCCTGAAGCCCCCCCAAAGCCTCGGGAGCCTCTGAAGCACCTTCCCCGCTCCTTCCCCCCGTCCTCACCCCTGGCCCAGGCTGTGCTCAGCACTGGGGTTTGGGGGGTCTGCGAGGGCTGGTCCCAGTGGGGCTCTGACCCCCCCGACCCCCCCATTTTCCCCCCAGCTCTCCAAGCTGTTTTTCCTGTTCCCTGATCCCCATTTCAAGCGCACGAAGCACAAGTGGAGAATCATCAGCCCCGCCATGCTGGCGGAGTACGGCTACGTGCTGCGCCCCGGGGTGAGTCCCCAAACCCTCAGGGGACCCCAAAACCTCCTGACCCCCCTCAGAACCCCCTGACAGCCCCGGGGCTCCCTCCCACACCCCCATGTCCTTGCACCCAGGGGTCCCCAATTCCCCCTGACCCTCCCCAACGTCCCCAGGGGTTCCTGAATTCCTGGGATTGTTGGGGGGGGGGTCCCAGCCTTTCTGGGAGCGGGAGGTTTTGGGGTGTCCCTGATTTTGAACTCTCCCAGGGCCTGGTGCCCACGGGGGGGGTCGGGGTGTCACAGTGTTTTTGGGGTGTCCAGGGCCTGGTGTACACGGTGTTTTTGGGGTGTCCAGGGCCTGGTGTACACGGTGTTTTTGGGGTGTCCAGGGCCTGGTGTACACGGTGTTTTTGGGGTGTCCAGGGTCTGGTGTACACGGTGACAGACGTGCCTGAGCTGCATCAGTGGATGCTGCAGCATTTTGGGGAGCACCCCCTGTTTGAGCCCCTGCCCCCTGCCCAGCTGGTGAGAGCAACTGGGGGGGCACTGGGGGAAACTGGGGGGGCACTGGGGGGTGTCGAAGAGTGCAGCAGCACACTGGGATTGAGTGGGGGCTAAACTGGGGGGCACTGGGAGTGTGGGGGGACACTGGGGGGCAGCGGGGTTAATGGGGGGTACTGGGTGAGTGACTGGGGTTTATGGGGTGGCACTGGGGCACAGTGGGAGGTTCCCTGGAGGGGCAGCGTGGGGTCACTGAGGAGGTCGCTGCTGTCACCGGGCTGTCCCTGACGCTCCTGTGCTGCCCCCGGTGGCGCCCGCAGGCCGCGGACCCGCTGGTGCCGCTGCTGCCGTCGGTGACGGAGGAGGGACAGAGGGCCCGGCGTGCGGGACGCCCCCCCTGCACCGCCGTGTTCCGCCGCCGCCCCGACCCCCCCCCGGGGGGACCCTGACCCGCGGGGAGGGGCCGGACCCCTCCCTCCCGCAGCCCCGTTTTGTAATAAAGCCACAAAACGTCCCCAAGCCTGGTCTGGCCGGTGTCCCCCAGACACCGCTCGGGGGGTGGGGGTATCTCGCGTCCCTCCCCCACCCCACGGAGGCTGCCGGGAATCGCCCCCTCCACGTCCAAAGCGGTGAGGTTGGAGCCGGTTCCTGCCTCAGTTTCCCCATCGCAGAAACCCCCCCGGGGGGGGTGACAGTGACATCCCCGAACACACCCGGGGGCTTTCCAGCAGCCCCGCCCGGTGCTGCAAGGCGGAAATTCCCAGGAATCCGGTACTGGGGCGGGGGGGCAGCCGTGTGTCCCACCCCCCGAGCCCCCCAGCGGGACCTGGGCTGGGACCGACCCCTCCCCGGGGCTGCCCGCGGGACTGGGGCCACTGGTGGAACTGGGAGTGCTGCGTGTCCCCTCCCAGCGTGGGGACCGGCACCCCCCAGCCCCTCCCAAAATGCTCCCCCGGGGGGCCACACCCGGTTTGGGGGTGTCACCGGGGGGATTTGAGGTTTGGGTGTGCCCCCGGGAGGGCTTGGGGGTGTCCCCGGGGGGTTTGGGGGTGTCCCCGGGGAGTTTGGGGGTGTCACCGGGGGGGTTTGGGGGTGTCACCGGGGGGTTTGGGGGTGTCCCCGGGGGTTTGGGGGTGTCACGGGGGGGTTGGAGGTATCCCCGGCTGGGTTTGGCGGTGTCCCGGGGGGGTTTTGGGGGTTCGGGGCCGTGCGCGACCCCGGTTCTGCCTCGGCGTGTGCGCGCCCTGGGGGCGGGGCTGCGGAACCGCGCCCTGCCGCACGCTGATTGGCCCGAGGGTTCCTTTATGCAAATGAGCGCGCGGGGGGCGGGAAGGGCTCAGAGCTGGGGGCGGGGCTTAGCTCGCAGTTTAATGTTGTGGGCGGGGTTAATGCTCCGGTGGGCGGGGCTTAGCTCGCAGCTCGGTGTTGTGGGCGGGGTTAATTCGCGGGGGCGGGGCTTCCGCGCGGGGGGCGGGGCCAGCCCGGCTGCACGTGGGCGCTATAAAGCCCCGGCCCGGGGCCCCCCCTGCAGTCGAGGCTCGGCCCCGCTCTCCCCCCGGGTCCCACCGGCTCCCCCCGGGTCCCCCGCCGGCTCCAGCACCGCCCCGAGCCTTCCCCCCCACCCTCCCGCATCCCCTGGTGTCCCCCGGTGCCACTCGAGCCCCCGGTGACAGCTATGTCCCCCAGCCTGCGCCTGCCCACCCGGGCCGCCCTGCTGTCCCACTCCCTGCCCGAGTCGGGGGTCCCCCGGGATCCCCCAGCCCCCGCTGCTGCCTCTCCTCCGCCCCGCACCCCGCACCCCCGGGGTCCCCCGGAGCCCTCGCGCCCCCGGGGCCTGGCCGAGATGCCGGGGCCGAGCTCCACCGCCTTCATCTTCGAGCTGCTGTGCCGAGGAGGGGTGCGGAGGCTGCATGAGATGCAGGTAAATGGGGCTTGGCGGAGGCAGGGGGACCCCATTCCCATTGCTCTGGAGCCTGGGGGGATCCTGCTCCCACTGCCCTGGGCTATGGAGGAGGTGGGGGGACCTTGGTGTCACAGTCCTGGCTTGCAGGGGACAGGGTGTACCTCAGTGCCACCACCCCGGGTCTCGGAGGGGACAGGAAGGACCTTGGTCGGCCAAGCTGGAGGTGGGGAGGGGAGAGGGACGCTGATCTCTGGGGCTGGGTGGGTTTGGGACATCCCAAGCTGGTCCCCAGGACTTGTTGGGGTGGTGCTGGGACCTGCTGGGGGGCAGCAGCGGCACCGGGGACGGGGTCACCCCCGGAAGGGCACAGAGGGACAGGGACAGGGCCACCCCCAGGTGGGCGGTGAAGCCCTAGACCAGGTCACCCCTGGGGAATCACTGCAGGTTTGGGAGCACGGGAACGCCAGGACCTCCCCTTGTGCTGCAGCTGCTCCTGCAGCAGCCCCGGGCACCTGCCCGTCCCCCGGTGTGACCCCCGGTGTGACCCCCGGTGACCCCCGGTGACCCCGATCTCCCCTTACCCCCAGCCTGGGCGCTGGTTCCAGCTGAGGACAGTGGGGGAGGCCGCTGTGACCCTCTGTGTTCCCCCCCAGAATGACAGCCCGGTCCCACTTCGGGCCACTGTGACCCTCCGTGTCCCCCCCAGGTCCACGGGCGGTCCCGGTTCGGGCCGCTCTGGAAGGCCCGGTTCGGGCCGGTGCTCACGGTGCACGTGGCCGACCCCGCGCTCGTGGCTCAGGTGCTGCGGCAGGGGGGGCCCG